TTGTTTTCTGCTGCTTGTTTCTCTCTAGTACATATAAATCAGTACTTTCATTTGCCTTTCACCAATCATTTTTCTAAAAGAAGTAAAGTGTAAAGGCAAAGCTATGCTTTTACACTTTGACTTTTTATTCACAACCCTTAATAAGAACATTATATCCTTAATATTCAGGTGTACTTAGAACATAAAAATCTCACAGCTGCTCACAAATGTAGGGTAAATTGACTGCTGCTTATTTTCCAGAATGGTCGTTGGGGATAATGAAAGCTTTGTCAAATTCCTTCTAAATACTGTGCATTGTTGCAGAATCAGCTATTGTGAAACAAATCTAGTTGTGAGCTGGCTCTGGAATAATTGCTTCATATACAAATAACTGCTGGAGAAATTAGTTACTATTATACTGTGCAGCTCTGCAATAATTGCCTTTTAAATCCAGTATACAGCTAACCATGGTGCTTTACTTCTTCATAGCTCAAGTGGAGTACAGAGTGAACTGAAGCCTCCTCAGGGATTAAGTAAACTTTACACATTTGTATAGGAAACCCAAGTGTAAATGGTTGGAGTAGATAGATGAGTGTGACATTTTGCTATGTGAGAAAATGGTGCCAATTTCAGGGGGAAATTTCAATGTTTTTTCATCACTGAGGAAGGAAGAGTTAATTATTTCTATGATTTTGGAGTCAGTTTAGGATGTTGATTTAACTACTGATTTCTGAAATCTAAGCTAAATCTAAAGCTAAAACTGAAGGTTAATGTGTGCAGATCAATGTCTGCCCAGGTTCTAGAGATGTTGATTGGAATATATTGTAGGCCTGGAAACGTGGTTTCATGTGACCAGATAGGTGGAATTATGTTATTTTATTCTGGCAACTCCTTTTTGAAGGTATTTCACAAACAGAAGAAATAGAGGTCTATTTTCACTTGCTTCTATGATTCCTGTAGTTTTGCTTGATTTCTAAAACTCGATTCAGTATAATGCTTTATCTAGAGAATACATAATTTGTGATAGAATGAAATACAGTGCTAATGAATGAGGAAAAACAAGTATGAGTTTCCTTCTGAGACCTAATTTATCGTATTATTTTTTATTTTTTTTGTTTGTTTGGACAAGTTGCAGCTTTTTTCCTAGTAGCCTGCTACTTTAATACATACAACTCCTTCAGGAGGTAGTTTGAAAAGAGCACAATTTAAAATGCTTCCTCTGCCAAACGGAAAAATACTGTTCCAAGCAAATGTTATGGAAAACCTAAGTGTACACAGTGATTTTCCAGAGTGCCTAAAATAGAAACTTTCAGTCTTGATGTGAAGCAAAATTCTCCACCCAGCTTTTGTTTTTACTCTGTGAAGGACTGGTCCTGACTGTATTGTACAGTGCAAAATCTATATAATGCAGACATATTCCCCAGCTGGATGAGCTTATTCTTTAAGAAGCTATATGTAATAATTTTAACTGATACTGCCATGCTCTGTTCATTGTGTTGATGATGAAACCATAAATTTGCTTATAAATAACAGAAAACTTAAAACTGAAGTGGCAGACACTGTCATGTACTGAAGCCTGCTGGAGTCTGTATTTGGAGCTTCCACCTGTCTAAGGTAAAGACAAAGCTGAGGAATGGATGAAGGGAAATGAGAAAGTGCTGTATCTTTAGTGGAAATTTTTGGCATTGTTGCTTGAGTCTGTAGGAAACGTAATGCAAAAAAAAAAAAAAAAAAGCTCTACTGTAGCTCCATCACGCTGGAAGATATTAGCCTCTATTCAGTACACACTGGAACATGTGCTTCAGCGTTTGGAAGAATTGAGCTCTTGCCTAAATAGGTAAGCTTAAGGTTCAGGTTCTTGCACAGCAGCAATAATTCCCCAGAAGCACAAATGCCTTTTTGATAGTGAATTACGGTGTTGCATTACACAGGCAGTTAGGTACACAGTGCTCGTTTGTTTGTTGGTTTGAGCAACTGACCTTACTAAGATCACAGAGCCATGTACTTAAAAGTTAGGGAATCTAAGAGCTGAGGTGACCGTTTACAGTTCTAATTAATTTCTGGGCATGAATTTTTCAAATCTTTAATTGCATCAGCTCCTCGTGTTCCTCACAAAGCCATAGCTTGCTTAGTAGCTGAGGAAGAAGGGGCTCACTTTACGTGAGGAGCTCTTCAGTATTGTCAGGCAACGTGGCCACTCTCTTCAGTGCTGCATAATAGATGAACCCTGTACTCAAGAAAAAGGTGTCTTACGGTTTTGGTACTCATTGCTCTGAATTTACAGACATATCATAGAACCGTAGAATGGCCTAGGTTGGAAGGGACCTTAGAGATCATTTAATCCAACCTCCCTGCCATGGGCAGGGAATTCCTAAGTTTCTTTATGAAGCACTCCAATAAAAGAGCATGAAATTGAAATTTCACAGCAAACTTGGGGAAAGGGAGTGTTGCAGTTACTTTACCAGGGGGTGTTCAGACTGCGTGTAGATGTATCGATTCAAAACAGTCTACCCAATTTGAGTACCTGGTGTCCAAGGCTTGTGATAGGCTTAATACAGAGCTCTTGTCTTTTGATTGCAGTGGTGGTATTTCTTCAGCAGTGAAGACAGAGAGTTCAGACTGCAGTCAAATGAGCGGTGTGCAGTTACTCTGTGAAGAGCCTGGCTTGAGCATTTTGCACATCTTCATACTAGGCAAAGGAATGAGTTGGGTTTCTCAGCATTTTGCTTCTTTTGCTCTGTTTGGGTGGTAGTAGCACAGTAGTCAGTCCCGGTGGCCCTCCCTTACCATCGCTTGCTTCCATCATCAGATAGTTCTGCTTCTTGTGGGAACTGTGTGATTGCATGGGGAAACCAGTCTGAGTGCCAGTTCTTGATGTTTAATCATGCTGCTGTGGTGGGCAAACGCTGCGTCAGCCAGATCACTTCTTTGATATGGTTTGTTGTCTGGCTGTGTGAACAGTTGCATTGGCATAATGGAAGCCACAAGTTTTGAGTTTGAGAGGGTGGGAACTGCCTGAAGCAAATCTAGAAACAGTTAAGAATGCTTCTGCCAGACATGCAGCCTCGGTCATTTTTATCTTCCTCATTTTCCCGCCCCTCTGTCCCTCGCCACCGAGTCATCTTCTGTCTGCTGCCAGAAATGAAGTGGGAATCCTAAGAAGTCAGAACAAGATCTTGGTGATAAGTAATAAACCTCTTGTATGTTTAGATCACGTCCTGGACATGTCTTGAAAGGATGGCCTTACGGGGAAAGTTGGGAGCGAGTCCCTCCAGCTCTAGCATTGGAACCTGGTTCCAGTTTCTTGTCCAGGAAGATCAGTCTCCCTTCCAGTTTGGTTGCTACTCTTATTTCCATGTCTGTCACCTGTTAGCCCTCTATCTCCCCTTGCCCAGGGTTCCTCATTCTGCTCTGTTTTCCATCTGCAGCCTTTTCAAAAGAGTTGCTCTTGGGAGAGAGGCTGTGTACAGTCTGTCTGCAGTGATGATGTCTTTCTCCATCTCAAAATGTGAAGGACTCTTCCATTTGTAGTTGCTACGCTTTCTGTCGGCTCCTGACTAGGTTCAAAAAGAGGGTGTTTTCAAGGTCCCTTAGGCCAGCCACCTTTGGGCAGTTTTTCATACACATGAAAAAACATGGTGAGATGTAAAAGGATGCCTTTCTATGGCACATTTGAAGCTACTTTTCCAGAAGTGAAGAAGCTAGGCCTTGTCAGATAGGAGGACCAGAAGTCAACATAAGAAGGAAACAGAAGGTTTTGCTAACTTTAGTCTTGAAAACTGCTGATCTGCTTTGGTTATTTTGTTTTATTCAGGCTGAAGTTGTCCTTTGTAACCAGTGTTTAAGAAAGCCAGGTGCTGCATGCATTGGCCGTGTTAAATACCAGTGCAAGTTGCGTGCTTCTGTTTAACAAAAGGTGGTAGTTTTGATGTGTCGTGTTAACTTCAGGTATTCCAAGAAAGATGGTTCAAATCATACCATTAAGTTTTACCTGAACAATTCACAGGTAAAAACTAAGGCATGCGTATCCTGTGAACAGTGTATATATTACTTAAAAAACCATTGTAAATCAAATTACTGTAACTTGACAGTAGTTGATGTGGTTTTGTTATGTGTTTTTTAGGTAATCAGTTCTCTAAGGGTAATCACAGATAGCAGCAGATTCTGAAATGACAGAAATACTTAATACTGTGTTCTGAAATTGCATGTTTGTTGTGTTTTTTTTTTCTGTGGACAAGTAGAATATCAGGCATGTGATAATGACCTACTTCTTAAATTGCAACTGTTCTTTATTAGTTGGAATTTAATATGCACTTGTATTTCTTTTCTTCCTTCTCTTCTTATCATCCAAATAGATGCTCACGTTCTGTGGGGAGGAGGATTTATTCAAGTAATGTAGTGTTTCATTAATTTAAAAAGTGAATTAAGTACTTCTAAATAGTCACCAACCTTGATGAAGAACATACCTGAAAGGTTTAACAGAAGCCAGTGGAAAGATGCAGGACCTTTTCCATTGGATGAAAATACCAGTAGTCTTAAAAAGCAAAGAATAAAGAAGAGCATCAGCGGTTATGGCAGGCTTTTCTGCTCAGTGGAATCTTTCCTACATGAGAGGCTGTGGCCAGGAGTCCCCCTCAGTTTGTTTCTTCTCATGGTGGTACCAATTCTGTGTTGGCTTTATGCTTGGCAGATTTCTTTGAAGTAGGTCACACTCATAGGGAGTTGAGACAAATTGTGATACTTGTAACCTTTGGTGACTTGCTTTCCTAATATCTCTTCTTGGTTTTTGTACTGATAGTATGGGACCTGTCTTTTTAGTAGTTTAGTAGGGCAGGGCATAGTTGTACCTGGTTTTGCAAAAAGGTGGTGCTTGTCAAAATGAAGCTTGACATAAACACACTGACATGAACACTTGAGAACATGGCTTTATATGTACAGGAGTGTAAAAAGCTTATTGTGGGAGTATGCTCCTAAACATGTATTGTGCCTTTTTTGGTTTTATTTTGACCCTGACAGAGCCAACAGTGCGGGCAGAACTGATGGAGCAGGTACCTCATATTGCTATGTTCTGTCAAGAAAACAGACCTTCAATCCCATATGCTTTTTCCAAATACTTACTGCCTATTGTGGTACGATACCTCGCAGACCAGAATAACCAGGTAAGTGTCTTTTACAAATAGTTTATTAGCTATTTGAATATACCTGGTGTGAAATATAAATAATTTAGCATCATACAAGTGTGTAATATTTTGTGGTAAAAAGAATTTGAATGGATATGAAACACATGGCACTGTGAACTTTAAAGAAAATATTCAACATTTTTTTCATCTAACATAGCCTGTTCTAATTTGAGGCCTTTTATCTTAGAATCATAGAATGGCCTAGGCTGGAAAGGACCTTAGAGATCATTTTAATCCAACCTCCCTGTTTTGGGCAGGGACGCCACCTCTCGACTAGACCAGGCAACACATGGCTTGTATTCTTATAGACAAAATCAGTCATTTTGATAAGCTTACATAATTTAAATTTTGGCAAAAAATTTAGTCATGAACAGCTGAATCCTTGATATAATTCAATTTTTCGACACCATTATGTATGTTAATGACCAGTTATTTGTATATTGATCCAATAAAACTTTTTTGATTGAACTTGTGTCATTTGTTTCTCTGCATATATGAGTTAGCTTGCCTAAGGCTTTCTTTAGACTTCTCCACATTGTTCCAGACTAGACTAATCCTAGGCAATAGATTATTTTAATTATTTCAGGCCTCTGAGTTTGTCACTTTTCCTTGCCCTTTCCAGATTTTCTCTAATAAAAATAAGTACCCAGACCTTAGTAGTTGTTTTGCCAATTCATATGTAATACAACAACCATACTCCTGCTTGATATTCTCCTGCTAGCAAATTCAGTGTTTTATTTCATTATCTTCTGTTGATACTCTATAGTTCATTTGGCTGGTTTGCTCCAAAACAAAGATCTTGAAGGAGTTTTCAAAGTTGCTGCACTGCAGTATATAGTCTCTTGCTGTATGTAGTGTTTTCTCTTCTGAAGAGATTGCTTTTTTGAGAGGCAGAGGTTAGCCATCTGTGAAGTCGATTATTAATGGTTATCTTGCCATAACTACTTTTTTAACATAACTGTCTTGTGTTTTGGGAAGTACATAGGTGCCTTAGTATACAGTATGGAGGTGCTCTTGGGTTCAAATGTAGCTTGTTTCAAACACGAAGTGTTTGCAGAAGGATTTTTGAAGCACTTCTCTCGCCAAGTACAGTTCGTATAGGTGTGCGGCAGTATATAGCTACAGCTTCCAAAATACAGGGCACATATTCAAACAAAAATCTCTCTTTGAATTCCTTGGTTCAGTTTTTGGCTTTTCGTGATAGGTAAGAAAAACAAGCCAGGCAGCATTGTTAGTTCTGCTGGAGCAAGAACTCATAGAAAGATACGATGTGGAGACCAAAGTGTGCCCTGTTCTGATAGATCTCACAGCTCCAGACAGCAACGATGATGTGAAGACTGAAGCCGTGGCTGTAAGTAGCAGCAATACCAAATCCCACCCTGTTAAAGTTTGCTTTGGATGCTTGATATTGCGGTGATGGCAGTGTGTTTCTAAGTTTCACATCCATGTGGTATTAAAAAGAAAAAAAATTATATTGCTGTCCATAACTAATCTCTGTAGCTTTTTGCGTACTGTGTTACATCCAAATCAAGATTAGATTTAAATTCAATAGCTTATATACGCTGTAAAGAAAAGTGTGGCTGGACAATGCATCAGAAAGGGATTAATTTTATTGACTCCTAATGCATCTTCGGTTGTTGGCTTTTTAGTTTTATCAGGTTTGTTTTATGGAAGTTTAAATTGCACATGTGGAAAATTTCCATCAGTGGAGAATCTTTAATGCTTGAATTCTGTTGGTCTCTGCTGTATGTCTGTTCTCTTTATTGATTTTAGTTTTATTTCATTTGATGAAACAATAACCATCTCAGTTGATTAATTTATGATTTGCTGATGGTTTTATTTTTTGCATTAGACACAACCTTAGTAATTAAAATTTATTATGTGTTAAATTAAAATAGTAAGCAAATAAATAATTCATCAAGGGAAAGCGGCCAAAGATATATGCCCTTGTATTTTCCTTGAATGTTTGCAGCTTGTGCTTTTTGCTGGGTGATTTTTTAAAAATTTTTTTCTATTTTTTTTTCATGAGAGAGACCATATGTAATATCTTACTTTAATAATGTGGCTGAACATGTAAACAACAAGGAGGTTGGGCACTATTGCATTTGGCACCGAATTTCTAATACTCTCTTAAGGAAGATTACAAATAAATAAGGGAATAAAATTTAAAACAGAGTTATTTAACCCATATTTGTTGTTTTGAAGATATGGCAACTTGACAAAGGTTTCTGTAGCTCACCAACCCCCTAGAGGCTAGAAAAATAATTCATTATTAGAGGAAAATGAATTTATATAGTTCTACTGATGTGATTAGGATCTTTTAGATTACCTTCTTTTTTTGGAAGTTTTAGTAAAAATCAGAATGAAAAAGGAGCTAGAGAGAAAAGCTGTCACTTCAATGTTAGGTTTCTTCAGTATTTTAATGTTAGGGCGTTGCGTTTTTGCGATATGGGGTATTGTAATTTTTAAATTGTGTAGAAGTTGTAGAAGTCACTTAAGCAGATTAGCTGTAAATAATTTTCTGCTAATTGTAAATACGTATATTTGTTAGTTATTGGAATACTGGAAGAATCTTTTACTTGTTTTTTTTCTAAAAAATTTCTGGATTTGATATGGGAAAGTAATTTCTGGGAGTTCAGTTGTCTCCATTAGTTTGGTGAAGAAACAATGTCTTTTATAGCTGTGTTACTTGTGACAGGCAAAGGATAAAAAGAAAAAAAAATGCTTTAGTGCTTTTTGCAGAAGCAGACAAACCTTTTCAATTCAAAGTATGGATTTTTTTTCAGTATTTTTCACAACCTTCGATAAAAATTGTGTGTCAGAATGAAGAGTAAACGTAAAAACCCCTTTTCTTAAATGCTGCGGAATTGCACGTTGTGCACCCCTCCCTGATGAATGTCTGTCTTGCCATTAGATAATGTGCAAAATGGCCTCCATGGTGGGAAAGGACATCACGGAAAGACTTGTCCTTCCTCGGTTTTGCGAGATGTGCTGTGACTGCAGAATGTTTCATGTTCGTAAGGTATGGAATTCTCAACACCTGTTCTGGATTATCTGTGAAGGGAGTGTCCTGAGTTTGGAACTTGTAGTTGACTAAATTACTTCTTTTTTTTTTCCTGTTAAAGCTTGTTTGTGACACATACAAGCGAAAGCTATGGTGTTTCTTTGAAGCTCACATTTCCACAGGTTTTCATATTTGACACTGAGGTTTTTTTCCAGAGTCCCTACCTTTATTATCAGAAACAAAGAAAGAATCTGCTTGTCTTTATGATTGTGTAGGTAGCTATGAAAATGGGAACCGACTGTTACTGATAGAGCATCAGCCACCTGAGCTCATATCTCTATGCATAGATGGAATTAAAGATGCTTATTAAGATGCAATAAACTAGTACTTCATCATGGTGTTGGAGGCTGTGATTTGGTTTTACCCTGCCGTTGAACAGCTTATTTTCCTTGATAAATGCCTATATGCTTTCATCTGAGAGCACTTTTGGTGCCTTTTGTGAACTCTCCCTCTTGTTTTAAGTTCTGAGGTGGTTCTTTGGTGATTAAAAAAAGCTGAATAAACGTGAAATGAAGAAAACTATTTTTAAAGGTTGTTTTTGTTTGGGTTTTTTTTTGAACCACGGGAACTAATAGAATGGGGAAGTAGCTGATAGTGACTTTGCACCTGTTTATGGTGGTTTTAATGTTTTTGTTTGTTTTTTAATGGTTTTAAAAGCTGTTCATTTTTTTCTTTGATTTTGTTTACTGTATTAAGACTGTGACCTTAGTGGTTATTTATTACATTTTGTCTGCAAGGTATGTGCAGCCAATTTTGGAGATATCTGCAGTGTGGTTGGGCAGCAAGCCACTGAAGAAATGCTGGTAAGCCATTTCTTAAGCTATTTTTCTTTTTAATTCAAGTCAGTAGTGGAGCTGGACAACATGCAGAAGAAGGGCAGCTAAAATAATTAGACAATTACTCTATTCCCTTAGTAAAGAGAGACTAAAAAGCTGTGACTTTTTGGTTTTGTTGACATCACGTTATGATTGATGTTTACGAACTCTCAGACAGTTACAATAAATATGGACCTCTTACCTGCCAAGTCACACAGTCTAGAGCTAAGGCATACTCAGTTCTAGAGCTGGGAGAAGGGTTTAAGTCAGACTGAAGAAAATATCTTGGGCTGTGGAGGCAAAGTGTATTTGCAAGTTCAAAAACAGGTGAGGAGTAGGCAGCAATGTGTCTTCTGATGTCTAGAAATGCAATGAGAGATTGCAGATACAGCAGTGGTGAGGCTTATGTGATCAATGAATGCTGCTGTTCATTGATTTAATCTTCTGAAGTCAATTTTCCTGACTCTTAACAAGTACTCACAGCCCTCCTAGGAAGGTGAGAAACAGAAAGAAAGGCAGAGAAGGTCAGTGAGTGTGAGTGATAAAAAATGACGTAAAGGGAAGACACACAAGTTCAAAAGCAAAAAGCGGGGAACTGCGTGGGGCAGTGAGCAGAGGATCCTGAACAGATCCTGGCCCTCGTTCCTTTGGCGGGTGTAAGGAGTTGGTGGATGTTGCTAGGCTTCCAGACATGACAGAAATCAGCTTGACAGTCACTGGGATCCTTCTTCAAGCTTTTTTCTCTTGGAGATGTGGACAGTGAGCTTGTTGAAGGCCAGAAGAGCTTGATGAGTCTGTGGGATGAATTAGCCAGAAACTTACATGACAAGAGTGTAAATGCAGGCATGACTTTAACAGGAGGTTCTGCAGCAAACGTGGTATTGGGACAGGTAGATCTAGTGTGACCCGCAGGGCATTTCTTATGTTCTTACAGCATTTGCTGTATATTTCCCTAGGTACTGTTGACTCAAACCATTTGATAATGAAGAATTGTTGCATGGGTTTACATCCCACATGTTTGATTGGGGATGTAAACTGATTCCTCTCACAAATGCCTTCTTAGTGATACATGTAATGAATTTGGATTAAAACTTTGTACAGGGTGTGCAATTAGACTCTGAAATAAAAAAGTGGTGGTTATTTTACATAAAAGCAATAACATGTGGCTGGAGAGTTTGGAATCTCTTTCCTTAGCAGAGAACACCGGTTTCTCCTCTTTTTGCATTATTTAACAGGGAAAATAAAAGGGCCAAAGGCTGAATGGCTTTAGACAAAACTTCATTTTGTATCATAACTTTTTTTAAAAAAAAAAGTCTAGAAAACTTTGCTGCAGAAAGTAGAAACAACTGAACATCAATAATTGAGAACAGAGTTGTAGCGACAGTCGTTGTATAATTACTTGCATCTTACCACTCTGCCTCTTCAAAGCAGCATCTGAATGTGAATGCAGAGAACTAGATGAAGGGGAAATGAATGTGAAAAATAACTTGCTTTGAAACAACTACTGCCTGTTAAGACTTGCAAACTTACTGTGTTCCTAACAGCTGCCGAGGTTTTTCCAGCTCTGCTCTGATAATGTGTGGGGAGTTAGGAAAGCCTGTGCTGAGTGCTTCATGGCAGTTTCTTGTGCAACATCACAGGAAGTCCGGAGGACAAAATTGTCAACCCTTTTTATTAATTTGATTAGCGATCCTTCACGATGGGTAAGAATTGCTTTTTATTTCTTGAATAGCTGTATATTTAAAAGATTCTACTCTGATACTCCACATAGAACTTTTCTCCATAGATGTGGATAACATAACTTGCTTCACGCACCTCAAGCAAAATTCTTCTTAGGCTTTTTACTTTGTCAGTGGATGTAGAGAGTCCCTCACATTTTCACTGCAGCCTTTAAGAAAAACTGTGTCAGTGGGATAACTTTTCTTACCTACAGAACTGCCTGTGATTTAACATTGCTGAAAATCATTAACAAAACTGGAAAACTAGATGTGATTTATTTGTATTTCTTCAGGTTCCCTACCACTATCTCTTTTTCTGAGGAGATTGGGGTGCTGGTGTTTCTTGTTGTTTTGGGGTTTGTTTGGGTGTGGATTTTTTAGTTGTTGTTACTATTTTTGTGGTTGGTGTGTGGGTGGTGTTGCTTTCTTGTTTTGTTTTGTGTGTGTTTTTTCTTGGTCTTGAAGATCTGTTCTTCAAAACTTAGGAAGTTTGTTGTTGAGCAGACTACTTTGGAGAGGCAAAAGTAGATCTTTCTGCACAGGAACATGAGCTCTTGGATCTTGGAAAGTCAGGCAAGTTGTAGCTCAGCAGAATTAATCAAATAATAAAGATGGAGGTAGATAACTGTTGAAAAGGGGAGAATAAATAGTAGGAGAAGGGAAAAGCAAGTGAACACCATAGCTAAATAGGAAAGAGAAAGAAATGCAGAGCTTATCATCAGTCAAACTTAGGAAGTCTGTTCACTGCACGTAATTTTTTGCTTTCAAGTCGTTAAAATTATCAACTGAGCTTTCAAATTTACCTGCTTCTACTGTCTAAATAATTGTGATTTCTTTGGTTGTGGGGAACAGGCCTGTCAACTGTTTTTATCCTACTTTTTCTTAACTTTTTTTTTTTACTTAGCCCTTGACGTTTACAGCTGGCTGACTCTTTCCGGACAAGAGCCTCTGCTATAGCTTTCCTCAGTAGGCTTATGACCCTTCCAATTCCTAGTAGCAGAAATTTATGTTTTATCGGACAGCAAGACTTATATATATAAAAATAATATTTTTCACCTTGGACCTTTTCCACTAGGTCCGCCAAGCTGCTTTTCAGTCTCTGGGGCCTTTCATATCAACGTTCGCTAATCCATCCAGCAGTGGCCAGTATTTTAAAGAAGAAGATGGCAAAAGCCCAGAAGACTGTAGTTCTACACAGGAAAACAGGTAAAGAATTTGTTAAATCTCTCTATTTTTTTTTCTCCTTGTTTTTCTTCTGTATGAACTGCAAGAACTTTCCTATATAAATTATTTATCTTGGTAAATGAAAATATCTGGAAATTCTTATCTTCATTAATAGACTATCAGGGTTTTCAGTTATTTACTTAAAATATATGAATATTCAGTAATTTAGGATAGCTTAGGATATACCTTCTGTAATGAAATGACTGACTTGATAGACAAGGGAGAGCAGTGTATATAGCCTACCTAGATTTCAGGAAGGCTTTTGACATGGTCTCCCATAATATCCTCAGAGAAGCTGATGAAGCGTGGGCTGAATGAGCAGACGGTGAGGTGGATCGACAGCTAGGCAGCTGAATGGCTGGTCCCAGAGAGTCCTGATCAGCAACACAGTAACTGATCATGTACCTTGGGGGTCAGTATTGGGTCCACTTGTGTTCAACATCTTCATTAATCATTTGGATGGTGGAGCTGTGTGTACCTTCAGCAGGTTTGATGATGACACAAAACTGAGAGGAGTGGCTGATGTGGCAGAGGGTCATGCTGCCATCAAGAGGGCCCTCAGTAGGCTGGAGTAATGGATTGAGAGGAACCTCAGGAAGTTCCACAAGGGGAAGTGCAAAGTCCTGCACCTGGGGAGGAACAGCCCTGGGCACCAGTACCTGCTGGAGTCTGACTGGGTGGAGAGTGGCTATGCAGGAGAGGCCCTAATGGCCATGGTGAATGCCAGGTTGACCATGAGCCAGCCCTGTGCCCTTGCAGCAAAGAAGGCCAGTGGTATCTTGGGCTGCATTTGAAGAAGTGCTGCCAGCATGTTGAGGGAGGCGATCCTTCCACTATGCTCAGCACTAGTAAGGACACAGCTGGAGTGCTGGGTCCATTTCTGGGCTTCCCACTATAAGAGAGACATGGACATACTGGAGAAAGTCCAGAGAAAGGCTGCAGATGATGGACTGGAGTAGAGGGAAGGCTGAGAGAGCTGGGCCTGCTGAGCCTGGAGAAGCGAAGGCTCAGGGAGGATCTTATCAGTGTGTGCAAATACCTGAAGGCAAGGTGGGAAGAGGAGAGAGCCAGGATCTTTCCAGGGGTGCCCAGTGACAGGACCAGAGGCAATGGGCACAACCTGAAACACTCTGAACATCAGGAAAGACTTTATCTTTTTTTTTGTCCTATGAGGGTGGCCAAGCACTGGCACAAGTTGCCCAGGGAGGCTGTGGAGTCTCCGTCCTTTGAGTTTTTCAGAAGCTGTTTAGACATGGTCCTTGGCAACTGGTTCTGGGTGGCCCTGCTTGAGCAGGGAGTTTGGTCCAGATGACCTCGAACCTTGTCCGGTCTGTGATTCTATGATTTATGTTTCTATGCTGTAAGTAAATCTACTGTGATAAATAGCAAGCTGATAGTATCTGTGTGAATTTTAAAAAATGTCTGCTTGCAACTAGTGTATTTTGGATTTTTCACGTTCATTTGCTTTGGCACTCAACAGTGAACAAGTCAGGACTACAGAAGATGTTAGAACAGAGGATGAGCACAACAGGACAGAGGATTTGTCTTCACACGTCGATAATGATGATTTTGCAACAAAACTTGAAAATGCCATGGAAGATCAAAACACAGTGTCAAATAACTCCCAGAGGGAAAGTGATTTCCAGACTGAGTCATCATTCCATTGCACTTTGTCTTCAGAATCTTGTGGGGAAATGGCTGACGAGAACGAGCAAGGTTCTCATTGCTGTACAGCAGGTCTACAGGAGGCTGGGCTGAATTCACAGGAAACCTCTCTTTCAGAGCAGGAATTGTACAACTCTTTTCATTTCTGGAGGACTCCACTTCCCGAAATAGATATTGACTTCGAGCTTCAACAGACTTCTGAGATAATACTCGACAGAGAAATTCAGGAACTCACTATGCCAGTGTCTTCAAACATTCCTATGGCAACGAGGAAAGAATTGGAAGAAATGATAGAAAATCTGGAACCCCATATAGATGATCCAGATGTTAAAGGTATAGTAAAGATATTGAAGTATTTTTAGTGTTTGGAGATACGTATTTGTTACTTCAGTTTGGGTTTTAACCTTTCCATTGTTTTAAAAGTCAGAAGTACTACTTTCTCCTGATCCTCAGAGATTGTATTTATTTTAATTTAATTGTGAAAATTGAGGATGAACTAAAAGGGAACTTGAATTTGTGTAAAGATGTTTAAAGGTAGTATGATTTCTTCCATAAACTGAATACACAGTTAGCGGTATAAACTTCTGACTGCCTTTTCTGACAGTTTAATCAAATAGATGGTTCAGTGGAGTAAGCTGTTGATCAGGCAATTAATTTGAATTAGCATACATGCAAAATAAGACATTAACATATTTATTTTAAATAGCAAAATGTGATAGATTATTTTCATTTTATGCATTATCTGAGTTTTTTTCTCATTAATTAGTCTTCTCTCTTTTTCTGCAAGGTCTTTATTATTGCAGTCTTACGTTGTCAACTTAAGTGTGCCAAACTGATTGGGTCTGACCGTGAACTGGTCAAAACTGAATTCTTGAAATGAATGCACGTCCTCCATTTTAAAAGCTCTGGAAGGATGAAGGGTTTCATAAGTATGACCAGCTGGTAGAGCAGCACCTCAGAAATAACTCCTGGGCTAAAATGACTTGGCTGTTTCACCCATACTGACTGAAGATATGTTTCTCTTGGTATTCATATAATGAATAAATTTCAAGGCACATCAGTCTTGAGCATTGCAGTCAGAAAGTCCAGAGGTAGAACTAAGGAAGAAGCCAGATTATTCTGGAGCTGAAGGGTCCCAAGGGGAAGCATGCCTCTATATTTGAAAATGTAGCATGGAAAATGAGGGGAATTGGGAGTGGGAAAAACATTTTAGAACAAAATGATATTGCTTTCAACTTCCTTTTGTTGTTAGTAGGTTGATATGTTGAGGCCTTAAATCCATTTTGGGCTGCTTTTATTTAATCTATTTTGAATTCAGGATATTGTTGCTTTAAGAGTGCTTTAGGCCCTCCCACTCTAATGAAAGAGATAAGACCAAGATCATTATTAAGGTTGAAATTTTTTTCTTAACATAACTTATCTCTGAAGCCCACAGTGAAAACTTGCGCTACTGTTCAGGTTTATTTTATAAAAGCTTTTTCTGTCCAGCTATAGAAAAAAAATACTTCTAATGAAGATTTATGTAGGCATGTAGCTATACATCCAGAATTCTCCTGTGTTACAGGGTTGTTTCTGTTGTATGTCTTGTTTCAGAGCAGGGCTTTTTTTGGTGGTGATTTTTTTTATTGTTATTTTTTACATTCTCTTGACTGGGTGTCGAAGTTTTCTGTGCAATTGACTAACGCTTGTATTTTTCAGTAGAAGAAAACTGTTACTAGGTTGTCAGCACAATGGGTTCCCAGTGCCCACAAGTTAGGAAAGATTTGGATTAGGTTTGCTGGTGCCATTGATTCTAATTTGGGATGGGGTGAGTGGTCTTAATTGCTCTGTTCCTTTCGTATTCCATTCAGTTCATGTGACGTTGTCAAGGCTGTGGAGTGAAGCAGCGTGAAACACACCTTCTAAACCTTGAACTCTTTTTTGTGTCTTGCCTGTACTCTCGTTATTCAGTGTGAATACTTGGAAGCTGTAATTTAACAGAGTTCCTGTTTTGATTTGGTAATGTTATTTTAATTTGACACAAAGTGCATCGAGGCATAAGGAAAACGCAGACCAAATGCGATAGAATAATACTATTTTGCATGTTTGTCTCCAGCTCTAATGCATACATAGAATTGGTAGATATCTAGACTTCAGACTCTGAGTAGCTGGTTTTGGACCTTACACTCCATAAACTGTGACAAGAGTGAGGTAGACCCTTTTTGGGGTGATCCAGAAGATCAGAACCTTGGCTGCCTCTTTGCTTATGGCAATACCAGGAATAATGCTTTCACCTCTACCATCTAAAATGGTTGTTGCAAACCGGTATGCAGATGGTATAAGTATTCAGTCCAAAGGTTGTCGTAATTTGTTATTTTCATAGACATTTTCTGAAACTTCCTGAATACATGGGTTACAGGTGTTTGCCACACAACCCTGGTCCCAAGCTTAGGGTCTTTACCTGCCCTCTCTTCTCCTCCTCACAAGACTAGCCATTATGTTATTGTCTTTTATTTTGAGGAGTGGGCTGGTTCTTGACAACAAAGACTGATGAAGCTAGGATTTTTTTTTCCCTCTCTTTCATTCTTTTTAAATCCCTGTGACCTTTCCTTGCACTTATTTTCTTCCCTGGTTTGCTGTCATCCAAGTCCTGATTCCCTGCTTCCATGCTGTGCTCCTGTCTTTATCTTCCACTCCGATGCCTTGGAGTGGAAGATGCTGTGTTCTCTGTGGTGGGTGAGCGGAGGGCTGCCATACTGGAGAGCTCCCATAGGTACATACCTGCTGGTTTCTATAGCAAATGGGACAAGCATCCTAGAGGCATCACAAGACGAAATGGGGATGAGTTAGCAAAAGCGTAGTTTGGGAATGAGACTGCAGTGTGTGATGTTGTGGGTGTGTCAGTAAGGTTAAGTTGTCGTGATGCCCTCAACTCTGGCTCTGTCTCACATCTCAGTGCTTGACTGTGCAACTTAACATGTTAGGATAAGGATGCTTTGTTTTGGAGAATATGAAGAAAATTAATTCTTCTTGTGTGGAGCCATGTCGGCCAGGGTTATTGGCCAGATTTTTTTGAAGATCTGTAAGATCATAGTGAATTTTTATTGTTTGACTCTGCAGAATAACTAGCAATGGTAATAAGGTGACAGTCAGCAAAGGTCGATGTTTTTGATTTTGCTGGCTGGTTTCAAAGTCAGTCCCTGACAGCTGAGGCAGATGTAGAGATTTGTTACTGGAGTGCAAATGGCAGTGATTTCGAGCCTGTGTTTTGTTTCTCCTCACCTCTTGCCCCACACAATGCTCTGTTCTGTTTATGCATCCATAGCTACTATTATACCTCTTTACCCCTATTGCCTCTCTTTGTGTGTATTTCCCTTCCTATTTCCTTTCTTATTTTAATTTCTCTTCCTTTCTGGATTCTGCATTCCACCACTTCACATGTCTCACCTCACCTTCTATGTTGTGCAAGGTGCTGCTTCCCTCCACTGCTTTTGCATCCTTATAGCAGACATATTGAGAACATAATAGCTCAGAACTGAGTTTTTATCATAGGAGTACCTCAGCATACTGTGCCAAGGGGAAGAATCTTTTGAAAGAAAGGCATTGCCAGCTCATGCAGCCCAGTATGTTCAGTGCACACCCAGTTATCATCGAATCATAAAATGGTTTGGGTTGGAAGGGACCTTAAAGATCATCTAATTTCAACCTTCCTGCCATGAGCAGGGACATATTCTGCCAGTCCATCTTGCTCAAAGCCCTGTCCAGCCTGGCCTTGAACACTTCGAGAGAGGAGGTATCCACAACTTCTCTGGGCAACCTGTTCGAGTGTCTCACCACTTGTGAAGAACTTATTCCTTACATCTAATTTAAATCTACCGTCTTCCAGCCATCACTCCGTGTTCTATTGCTGCATGCCTTTGTGAAAAGCCCTCCTCAGCTTTCTTGTAGGTCTCCTTTAAGTACTGGAAGGCTGCTTATAGGGTCTCCCCAGAGCCTTCTCTTCTCCGGACGGAACAGCCCTGACTCTTTCAGCCTGTCCTCACAGGGCAGGTGCTCCAGCCCCCTGATCATTTTTGTGGCCCTCCTCTGGACCTGCTTCAACAGATCCATGTTCCTTCTATGCTGGAGATCTCAGCGCTGAATGCAGTACTCCAGGTGGGGTCTCACAGTAGAAGGGGAGAATCGCCATCCTCCAGATATCTTGTCTGTTGCACACTTACGGTTTACTGTTTGCGTACACAGAATGAGCTGTTTGTGGTTATGTGGGGTTTTGGGGTGTTCTTGTTTGTTTATTTGGGGGATGATTTAGGTTTCTAAGTGTTTTCTTGTGTTTCTGTAGTGCACCTCCATATCATCACAGCAGTTTCAATTTCAAACTTCAAATCCTTGCTCCAGGGCATGGAAACTGATGAGGGCTCTAGCGGCCAGCAACCACCACAGAACATATTTCTTTTCAGTAATTTCATTCTCAGAAAGGGGTGAACTGCTTTAACTGAATCTCACTTCCAAAAATCTTTACCTTGAAGCTTTCTTTTGAGAACTAGCTTGTGGCCAAAGTGATAAATCTGAGTAGTAGATAGTTGAGCAGTCAGCAACCAAGATGATGACAGTCTGTATTCTCACAGACAAGCTCTGCTGGCTAGCAGAGCTACATAAGCAGTGCAAAATTAACCAGTGGTATGTAATCCCTGTTAATAGGGCCTTTCCAATCTGCAGACAATTGGCCAGACAACCTGAGGGTCTCAGACTGGGAGATGGAAACCTGCACATTCCTCTGAAGTATGCCGGAACTTTAAAAATTATCATGGGGTCTTTATTCAGGTCACCTTTTTCCATCTCCCCGAGGCTGCTGCCGTCTTTGTTTACTTCAAAGGTTTCTTTTTTCTCTCCAGATGTTCTTATTTCTTTATTTTTCTTCCCAGGGACATTTTCTTCAGCTTTATTTATCTCCCTAAATTCTGCATAGAATGTGCTAAATTGCCTGACATCAGCTTTTCTTAATATTTGGAGGAAGAGAGAAAGCCTTACTTGCCGGTTACCAGGGCTAACTGTGGCTTTTTCTTGGTTCCGGGTGGGTTTA